AGTTTCATAGTTATGGTGAGAAACATGGTGTATTTTGATTCCTAATTTAGCTTGTTTATCCTGAGAGATTCCAGAATCTTCATTTGAAAGATAAATTCAAACCTTCTTTTTCCTTTGCTGCACACATTCCATAACAAAAACATTGCATGCCATACTTCATTACAGGGTTTGGAAGACCTTCATGACCATAAATTTAGGAACTTGTGGAACACAATGGACTTTAGGATGGAAACAAGCCAGTTGGCCTATCTGGTCAGGTCCATCCCTTCTGTTTGAATTAACAGCTGGATTTCACAGTGGGAGAAATCCGGCAGTTCTTTCTCAGGCAAAATTCTCACAGTTGGATTTGCCTCCAACCGCTGTAGCTAGGGTGGGAGGGAGCACAACTCACTTTGTTATTTTATGTTAGCTCTCCGGGTAAAAAAATTCCAGTGCAAGTTCCATAGGACTTGGACCTACCCTGTTCTTTAATTTAATGACCCTAAGTGCAAAAAGACAAAACATTTCCATTAAAACAGACACAGAGGGTATGTACAAGGTTCTTTGTGCAGTGCACATGGTACCCATGTTCTGGAGAAAGCAATTAGAAGCTGGATGCTGAGGCAACATAAAGAGGCAGAACCATTTGTTGCTCTGAGAATTCCGTCTGGGAGATGAGGTGCTGGCACAGGTTGGCAGACTGTGTGAGTAGAGGTGTTGGGTATAATATGCAAAGGTCCATTTCACATGTGCTGTTTCAATTCCAAAGGTAATTATACCAAAGTAAATGGATTTGCAGAGGATTTACACCCACACAGCGGGGAGGAGAACATACCCCAGAGGAGACAAAGAGGGGAGAGGCCAGCTGGAATGACACAGACAGGGATTTGTGTTACACTGCCAGAGCTGATGGTTAAAGCCCTGTCTGCTCAGGGGCATGTGGACAAGGTTCCCTCCTTTTCCTGAGCTTGAATGTGGTGGGACACAGGCTATTGCTGCCCTGGATTTACAGTACAAAGACTTGACACACAACCCCAAGGGCCCTTGTGCTGTACCATTAGCAGAGTCCCAAACAGCTCTGTATTTCTGGAAGATAGGTAGCAGAGCTTGTTTTCCCCAAGGCTTGTCCCTCCAAACCCCTTTCCCCCCTCTCAGTGTGTCATCTGTGTTGGTAGAGAGTGCAAAGGACACATAAGATTTGGACCTGAACAGGCAAGTGGTACTTTCTGTGACCAGAAAACAGAGCATAAAATCTTGATTCGATTTTGAGGGAGCAAGAGATGCTCAGGACCAACCTGCTGCATGCCTGAGGAAGTGGCAGCTCAGGCCATGAAATGGAGCACAACAAAGCAAAGGCATGGGGAGAGACACCTCTCCAGTGTGGCTTGACCTTCAAATGCCCCTTGAGCACAGCTTCTCTTTACATGGGGAGTTAGTGGGTCTCAACTAATAAGATCTATCTGATTGGCAGAAAAATAGGGGAACTTGGCTTTACTGACAAAGAAAAGGTTTGTTTTCAGCTATCCTAATCTGCATTAATGCTCCCATAATGCGCAGGAGGTTCTGCTGAGGGACAGGTCCCTGTAAGTGAGGCCAACTCCTGCCCTACCTTAGGTGTTATCTGGCCTCTCTTCACTGGTTGTGTGAAAGGAAAAGTTCTGTATCCTTGTCCAAGTACTTTGAATTTAATTCTGAGGCTGATCATCATTTTGCTCTTCAAAAACGACTTCTCTGACAACAATGGCAAAAGCCTAAGAAATTAAATCGTTAGGAGTAAAATTGCTGCATAATAACCTGGTGTGGCTCCATCAAAATATTTATTTTATCACAGGAAGCCTTCCTTTAAAAGGATAAATAAACAACCCCCCTCCAGGGGCCCTCAGTGAGGCCAAGCCTTGCCTCTCCCCAGAAAGAAACCTTTCATCTTTCCTTTGCAAAGGTATTTATGATCCTAAAGGGAGAGGTCAAAAGGCCCCATCGTGCCCTCAACACAGCAGGGAGGAGCTGCTCTTCCTCTCTGCCTCCTCCCTCATCCCAGGCCTGGGACAGTCGGTGTCAGCCCCCAAGTGAAGCAGCTCTTCTGGGTTCAGAAAATCCATGGCTCACCCTGGGTCTGTCTTCGCAAGCAGGAAGACCCCTTGAGATGAGGAATTGAGCCAAAACCCAAAACCTCTCCTCACTCTGGCTGCTGTGCCCAGCCTGCTCAGCCCGCTGTTCTTGGTGGTGCAGAGCCCTGCTCTGCTCAGCTTTTAATTTAAGTGCCAAACCAGCTACATCAGGAGAACATTCACCTGCTCTAACACAGGGCAAAGAGGGATGTTCCTGTGAGATTTTTTTTTTTCTTTCATTATGGCTTTATGCAAGTGGCTGACAGGCTGTGATGGAGCTGAAGAAATAGCTCTGGACTCAGAGTGCAGGGATAAAGGAAAGAAACCCAGACTTTTTTCCCCTCTTCCCGAGAAAAAGTAATTTACGTAAATTTATCCACGACCAGCACATGGCAATAGCTCACAACTTTGTTAATGGAAACCTGGTGATCCATAACACTTGTGTGGGAGACATTTGCTCGGGGGTAATACAATATTAATGTTAATATCAATGATCGATCAGAGGATTTGCAAGAAAGGCATAAAGTATTTAATTATAATTACATTGGGAATGGCTTTGTAATGGCTACGACATTTGAATAAGGTCACATCTAGCCCTCACCCCTGTTATGTTGTTCTATATTAAATGCCATTCACTTTAAGAGCTGGAAACCTTTCTGGAGTTGTCAGAATATAATATACTGGGTAAATTGAAATATGTCCCTTCACTTTTTGAAATATGATTGATATCCTTTGCAAAACAAATGTTAACACCTATTTGTACACAAATTTGTTTGATTATATGTTAGGGAAACTCAAGTATGACAGTGTCTCCTAGCAGGCACTTTACTGTGAGCAAAGGACATGGCTATTTGTGAATATTAATTCATCTTACTGAAAATGGTTTCGGATCTCTGCTGTAAATCCACTTGGGTGTATTTCTGCCTTTCCTAATATATTAATCCTACATTGCTTAGTAGCCATAACTGGATCTCCACTGGTCTCAGCAGCCCTCTGTGAGCACTGGGGAAGGTGAGGCTTAGGAGGAACTTTTGCTGTCATTGAGGTACCTTTTGCTAACAGCATCAAGCAAGAACACATAGTAACAACCATAATTGCATATTTCACAGCAGAAAATATGTATTTCAAGTATAGTGCAGGATGTGTACTAGAACTATCAGCCTGACAGCAGCATTGCCAGGTTTAAAACAACCAGGAAAATCATCTGGGTATAGAGCACGAATATACAGCTGTAGGCAGGATCCTAGAGGGGCCACATACCAACCCACACGTGAGGAAATGCACACACTGGAGCACTAAATGGGAACATGCTCTTCCCACACTTATTTACTACTGAGCATAAATACTAAAGGAGCAAATTCTCTGTCCCCCTTCAAATGAGAATCTGTCTGTCCTGTCACCCCAGAGATTTTCCTCTTTCTCTAACATCAGTGTAAACAGCAGATCAATCAGGTCTAATAAGACAAATTTTGCTTTCAGATAATCGCCCAGAATAACCATTGATCCACTGAGAACTGAAAGCTCCCATCTGAAGGCAGAATTTATTCTCAGGAAATCATCCCTTCAAAGTTTGGAAGACATGCAGTGATGCAACTGATAATATGATTTTCCATTTTCTCTTTCCTGAAGAAGAAGCAAAGACTTTTTGCATGCTGTGCAAATGCCTGAAGATAACAAGTTTTACAGTTTTCCAAAAAATGAGCTTTTATTACCAATCAGCGTGAAATACCACTGACGGTAAATTTTAAGTATATGGCAGGAGTTTCAGCATCATGACAACATACATCATGCATTTTTACAACATATAAGTGCAGTGATATTGCTCCCTTTCTCAATAACAATATATAAGAATATATAGTATAAATGTACAGTATATATTAGACACAATGTAAAATAACTTAGTGAAATGTCAAAGCTTCTGCATAAAAATTCAAGTCATGCCTGAGCATACCTCTAGCACAATTCTGCTGAATCTTATCTTATGTACCTTCATTTATCTTTAGTTCATGTTGCAAAGATAATTTTTTCTCTCTATATTTAATTGCTTAAAACCATCAGAATCCTTGTCTTTTTTTTGTTTTATCTGCAGTAGGTGTAGGCTATAGTAGCCAAGTCAAAGCCAATATTTTGTGGAGCCTTTACTAAAGCTGTCATTAGGTTCTGGGAAGCAGTTCATTGGGAACAAGTTGTATAAAAGCAAGTTCCTAAATGCTCATTACAGTTCATCATTTTCCATCAGGTTCTGCTCCAATATCTTCCTCTGCATGTAAAGGGTAATGGAACAGCTTTCTTAGAAATGGAGCTCATGAGCTAACATTGATATCTGGAAATTATAAATCTCACCAGCTTTGCTGAAATCATATCAAGCATCACTTTGGTAATTGCTTGCAAGAAGGATCAATAAAAATCTATTTAATAGGAATATTCGACTTGTCTCAAAGCAGCTAGGTGGAATTTTAGCTTTGCTTAACACTGGATACAGCTTCATGCAAAGCTGGGTCTCCCTTCACACTTGTTAAATGAAATATGGTCAAGGACTTTTCTGCAGCAGCTCAGGAAGATTTCTGATAGTACAAGGGGGTAGTGGGGCTTTTTTTTTTTAACCAAGGCATTGAGAGGCTCTATGCCTCTGTCACATTACCTATCAAAGTCTACCAGCAGCAGACTTGCAATTAGTTCTCTTGGAATTATTTTGAATTCAACTTCACTTCAACAATTTAAACAATTCCGCCCTGAATAGAAATAAAAATATATTTTAAGCACTTATTAATAACTACATTTTCTAATGAATTATGAATTAAAGCTGCAAAACAGTTTGGAACTTGATGTTAAAAGAAAAAATAAGGGAAGACAGAGTGATTTTCTGTGATTCCTTTTAAGAAAACAAATTCCCACCCCCCCACACATTCCCAGCCTGTGTAAGTCGACAGAATTACACCATTTTAGATCAGCTTAAGTTCTGACCTATATACTTCAGTGGAGTTAATCCTAATTTCCACCACTGAGAGTGGGATCAAATTCACTTTGTCCTTAATAAGCAAGGGTGATAAGCAAGTCTCTTCTCTGTTGGATTCTGCTCGAGAAAGGAAATTCTCTGTCATGGTAAATGATGTCCAAGACAGTTTAGAAAATAAAGCTGGAATTTCATAAATTTCAATGCAGTGAAACCCAATATTGGTAACTGTTATTTATGTTTTAATCTTAGCAAAGTTCTTTGGGTACAGACAGAGCATCAGCTGGTGAGTCAGTAACCCTTTGTGAGTACTGCTCGGGAGGAAGCCGAGGAGGCAGGCGGCTGATTTTCAGTGACTGACATGAGGCTGCTGAACAAACTGCGACTCAGACTCTGTTACCACCAATAAATAACATCACATTGTCCAGAACTGCAGATTGATATGCTGAGCCTCCAGTAGATGATATTTATTTTCTTGCATGTTATATTGAGATCTCAGGACAGGCAAAGGGTCAGGGGCTGAAAGGATGTAATCGATGCTAAACTTAATTTCAGAATCCGATTTTGCCAAGGAGGAATTGTTTAGGCTCTGCCTGTTGGTCATGCTGTTTGGAGCAAACCCACAAGGCTCCAGAAGTTTTGAGCCCGATTCAATTCTTTCATGTTTACTTTCAGAAGAGGAAATGTTCAAAGCAGAGTCCACAGACGAGATATTGGGGGATGAAGGACTTTTCACTCTGCTTGGTCTCTGCTCTTTATGTTCCCTTTTCATGTTCCTCCTCCTCCGTCTTCGCCTGTAATTCCCATTTTCAAAGAGATCCAGCATGGATTCGCATCCTGTTGCAAAGCTCCAATAGTTTCCTTTCCCCTTCTCATTCCCTTCTGTTCTGGGAACCTGTATTTATTTAAAGGCAGTTCAGTATTTGTATGTGTTACAGATGCTGCTGCTCAGCATCTGCATTCATTTACATTCAAGAATGGTGTAAACACACATGACAAGATTTTAAGCCTATTCTCCGTCATTGTACGAGTAAGATGTAAACTCCGTCCTCTTCAATTTGTTATCTATTAGCACACATCAGACAAGGATATACTCCTTATCTCTGCAACTGACAACTCAGAGAGATTTTAAGTGATTTGCAGCTCAGCTGTTTGTTTCCCTCCTTTCTAAGGCATGAGATTATTGCTGCATGTATTTTTTTAGCCATGCACAGAGTGTATGTAAATACACAGTTACTGATCTTACCTTTACAAAACAACTGTTAAGTGATAAGTTATGTCGGATGGAGTTCTGCCAGGCTCTTTGATTTGATCTGTAGTAAGGAAATTTCTTCATTATAAAGTCATAAATGCCAGAGAGGGTGACTTTATTTGAAGGACTTTGCTGGATGGCCATTGCAATTAAGGCAATGTAGCTGAAAAAAGGAAAACTTGCTGTTACACCACTGCCCTACTCACAGACTCAGTTTTTAGGACCACATGGGTACATGTATGCCTATATCTTCCTTCCAAAAGTTCTCCCAGTGCATCTGCACCCTGACCTGGGGTGTCCCAGAGAGAAACCCTGACCATGATCACTGCCTGTCCTCCAGGAGACCCCAGGTGACACAGAGGTGTTAATGCCAGGCAGTCAGTTAATGCCCTGGCAGTCAGTGCAGGGGGCTCGAGTACAGGAGGACTGCAGAAAGATCACACACCTCTCAAACTCTGTCTGAAAAGTTTCCCTGAGCAGGAAGGCTGCAGGGAGACAGACCAGGCTCGGAGACACTGTCAGTGAAGACCTTCCCTGCTTGTAGAAAGGACCTTGGATGTCCCTGTGAACATCTACACTGTGCCTCTTCCCACCACACTGGCATTACTGCAACTGATGCACATTCAATTCCCCTTCTCCCAGAGGTCCTGGAGGTTGGAGATAGTTTGAGATCTGGAGGCTCAAGGGCATGTCAGAGCTGCTGTGAGCCCTCATGGGAGGAAACAAATCATGAACACCTCACATGTGGAGAGGGGGGAAATTTGCCCACTGCGGTGCCTGTACCAGGACCAGACCCACTGCACACACCTGAGGAGAGGTCCCACGATCCCCTGAGAGCTGTGATCCCACCATCCCAGAGCTCAGAAACCTCCCCAGAGATAGGAGGACTTGGAAAAACTTCATCTTACCTGTACGCCGGTCTGGTGAATTTTTTCTCTTCGTCAGAACTACAGGTAGGATAATCATCCCCATCATAATTAAAGCAGTTATAGGGGTACTGCGTGTTGTCAAACATCGTCCTGCTCCTTGCTCAGCTCCTGTGGAGTGAGAGAGATGGAGTGATGTTTCTCAGAGCTCGGACTCCCTCCTCCCTTCTTCCCTCCCCTCTGTCTGTCTCGTTCCCTCTCTCCCCCCTCCTCACACTCCCTCTCTGTGCACACACACACACACACTCTCTCTGTGATGGGGTGGGGATTGTTTTTGCAATTCTCGCGTCCCAGACAACACGTCTCTTAGGATAATTTTTTTTTTTTTTTTTTTGGGGGTGGGCGTGTTATTGTTGTTCTTGCTGTTGCCTCCAAGGGGGTGGCACAGCCGGGTGGCACAGCCGGACGGCCGGCGACTGATGGAGCCGGTGAATTGGGGGTGAACCTTTGAACCGGGGAGAGCAGCGCCGGTAGCTCCGCTCAGCTCGCTGGGTGGTCCAGGCTGGAGAGGGGCCAGCGCTCCCACCCCCCGTCCGCCCCCGCCACATCCACAACGTGACAAAAGCAAACAGCATGATGTTAATAAATCATGCTTCAAGGTCTCTACTTGGAAATTAAACTTTGAGAACAGAGTGCAGCTCCCCCTCAGCCCCCGAGTCCTCCCCCTCCGTATTTTTCTCTCCCCAGCAAAGCAGGGTGGCTTTTTATTTATTTATTTTTAGAAAACCCGACGTACAATAAACAGACGTTCCAGGCAGTAATGCGCGCTTGTCCTGATCTGCAATCTATAATACAGTATAATAGACATAAATTATATTTCCATGACTAAAGGAAAATCTGTATGTTCAAAGAAAGTAGAACAGAGGGATATGAGGGACTACTGTCAAGCAGGAAAGTAAAAGGAAAATAGCTGTAGGCAGGAGAGCTGCCTGTGTGGGCTTTGATCTGAAGGATGAATTAGACTAATAGCCCTGTGTGTTGGCATCCAATACTGTAACAATTTAATAGTTTTTCAATGCTTTGGAGTGTTTTCCAACAAGTGATGTAAACCAAAGGCATCACGCACCATTTCAGGAGGGACTTAAAAGGTGTGTGCCACATGATAATTAAATTATTTGAAGACAGCTCTGTCCCAGGAACTAGCCCCAGGAGGAAATGGCTATTGGAAAAGAGAAAGGAAATTGGTGTGCAGAGAGTTTCCCTGGATGGAAATATAAAAGCTGATCCAGTAGCAATGCAACTTTTATTTTCTATAGCATCTTTCATATAAAGTATGTCCCCAAATCCCTTTTGGAGTTAAAGGATACAATTAGGGGAGAGTTCAACTGAGTGACAAAGTGTGCTTTAAAGTGATGCTTACGTTGCTCCTGGAGTTCTGACAAAGGTGGACATAAGAAGGGGGATTTTTCTGTGGAATATAACGACATTATAGTAGGGAAACACATGGCAGGAAAAAAAACATACAAGAGGTGTTTTCTTGGGAACATGAAGCCAGAGCAGATACTCAAAATGAAAATTATCTCCACTCTAAAATACATCAATAGGCATATGCATGAAAAATCCACTGCAGAGGAGGTGTTAATTCAAAGGGTCAGCTACTGCTGCCTAAGGCATTAGCAGGGCTTTAATACTGAGTAAGACAGAGCAGATTCAGTGGTGGAGAATGAAATATATATCATCTGATCTTCATTCATACTTTGTCCAGCTGGACTAGAAGGTTTAAAGTAAAGAAGAAGCTGGGTCACAGACTTGGGAAGATTCTCCCTCACTAAAAACCGTGATCCTTGAGACAAAAGTAAATGTCCACTTTGATTTGTAGCAGCAGTTTTCTCTTTGGAGGTGTTTTAGCTCACTGAAATTCCAGTAACTCAAACCAAAGACTAAAAAAAAGTCTTGCTTTTGATTTATAACAATTTCTAAAAGTAGAACTGGGTTGTTGATTCTGATTTTACCCAATCTCTTAGCACCCTTTTAACAGTTCTTCATATTCTGTTTATGACAATTGCCTCGCTAAGGAAGTCAGACAATACATTTTGACCAAAATCCCCACATCTTTACTGACAGTATTGAATAGGTAAATTTTCTGTAATGGGAATTAGAGCAAACAACTGAAGTGTCATATATTTAGTTATGTTATTTTCCTCTATTCCTGTGTTTTCTTGCAGTAGTGAGTGTAATCCACTTGCCCATGTCTAACTCATCTACAGTGTGCATTACAGCTGCTGGTGGGACCTACTCTCTGTGCAATAGCTCATGGCCACTGTGTTGCTCACCCATTTCAGTGGAAAATACACTTAGATTAAAATTCCATCTCAGTGGTTGGTTTGTGAGACTAAATTGAGCAAAAGGAGGAAGGTCATAACCAGTGTCAGTGTCCTTGAGCAGCACTTCAGGAATGAGTGGGACCATGGGTGGGTGGTGCAGGGGCAGCTTGGCCAGACAAATAGGAAACTCCTGCCATTGCCATTTGTGCAACACATCACCTGTGGATATGCATTATTACTTCCTGAGAGCCAGCAGTGAGCTGGAGGATTTAGTTTCTGGCTCTGTAAATATCGCTACATTCATCTGCAGCAAATTCCTATAGACCCTAAGAAGAAAGCAGACCATTTCTGAGTTCCTACAAGATCAGAAACAAGTTATATATGATCTCTCATAAACTCGCTTCTGAAATCCAGATATGCAAAACCGGCAGAACGTTTCTCAAGGTAATTTTTAAGGCCTTTATGCTGATACTTTATCCCCAAGTGAATGTTTATGGTCCAATTATAATCCTTGAAAACAGTTTTCACAAAGGAATGCTAACATGCTCTTGTATGTACCATAGTGGAGTGAGCAGGTGCCATGCTTATGGTGGCAGAACATGTCGTACACTATTTTTTTCCCAGCATCTGTGCAGCCATTACAGTTTAACTGGAGTAACTATAACTCATCCCTGTCATTATCATAAAAGCATAATTTTGCCAGGCTAGTGTTTTCTTGTGTTGTATATTTTCAGAACACAAAGTTGTAAACCATTTGATTTGAGATAGTAAATAGGCAATAAAAGTGCCGGGAAAGATTTGACTAATTTTTAAAACATGGATATTAAAGAGTTATTTGTAATTTGTGTAATTATGACACAGATTATGAAAGTTGTACATGAAATTCAGACAAGTCATAAATCCAAACAGGGCTGAATCACTGCTCATTATGGGATAACAGAATAACAGTAGGCACCTCAGTGTTTAGGACTGAATGCTGACATTTCAGTCTTCTTATTAGTGTGCACTGGCCTCTCCCAGCTACATGAATTCTCCTGCTCTCTCTCAGACTTAGAAGCCAGAGCTAGTTGCAGTTTAGTACTTTATCCCAAACATTTTAAGTTTATCATAAAATCAAAGATTTTTGGAGGTTGGAGGGGATTTTTTAAAGATCATTTAGTTCCAACCCCCCATTGCCATGGGCAGGGACACCTTTCACTTGACCAGGTTGCTCCAAGCCCCATCCAGCCTGGCCTTGAACACTTCCAGGGGTGGGGCATCCACAATTTCTCTGGGCAACCTGTTCAGTGTCTTACCACCTTCACAGTAAAGAATTTCTTTCTTATATTCAATCTAAATCTACTCTTTTCTGGTTTATCAGTGGAAACAAGGAGCCTTCAGCAGGCTTTGAATCCCTCAGAAGCAGTCCACACCACCAGTAAACTGCTTTCTTTTTAGTACAAGACCAGTAGCTCTGGCAAACAAAGAAAAGGATGGAGAAATGCAGGTGGTGGTACTTATTCTCCTGCTTACTTTGATATAGGATAAGAAAGAGAGTTCCCCAGACTTCCTTGGGCAATTGGCTGTGATGGCACCAGATACCAGTTAAGGGACCTTATGTTATTCAATTTGGTGACCCCATTTCTGGGAAAGTGATGAGGTTTGCCACACTGTGCACCTGCATTTCACCCTAAATTTCTCTCTGCTTCACCCACATTCATCAGCTGAATTGCTTTGCCTTCTGCATCTCTTTTGTGTTCATATGTAGAACTTCATGGAAATAAAATTTGCACCACAGTTTGTGGTTTTCTGCTGTAGTTCAGTGAGAATTGTTTATATTTCCTAGCTAGGGGGTTATTTGGAGAGGCATTCCTCATCTGCATGCCTTGTAGCTGCAGCAATGTAAAACTCATGCATAAAACACAGCATGGGTTTCTACTGAAACAGGAACCTGGATAAGAAACCTTCAATAACAATACATCACATTAGAGGTAGTAAATAAGCGAGCAACTATATAAACTGGCTCAGACATATTATCCCTGCCCTAGCTAGATATGGAGATTCACAAGACATATATGAAAATCCATTACTGGAAATTCTGAGTGTGTTTTTGGTAGTGAAAAATAAGAAAGGAAGGCTCCAAGCCCTGTCCAACCTGGCCTTGGACACTTCCAGGGATGGGGCAGCCACAGCTTCTCTGGGCAACCTCTGCTAGTGCCTCACCAGCCTCACAGGGAGGCTATTTATTCCTAATATGTAGTCTGTCTTTTATGTTAGTGGGATTTTTCCTCCCCCAGCTGTGAAAGCCTCCAAGATTCTGATCCATGGGGCTTTTGGGCTCAAGTAGAAAAGCTGAAGGGTTTGACATGAGGATAAATCAAGAGGTGATGCCTATCCTTTGCCACATAATGCACCTCTTGGACTGGCACAACAGTCATGCCTTAAGCAGTCTTCACTTGTTCACCAAAAACAGACATGATCCTGGCACAGCTGCTGCACCTTGTCCATCTTTGGGCATTTCTCATTTCAGGTCTGCTCAGAATCAGTTGGCGATAGGCCTCACTTCATACATTGTTTGAATTCTGCACCAGACACAGCTAATAACTTGGGCCAGGAAACTTGTTCCAGATGTTAATTAACTCCCTCTGCATTAACTGGAATCACACAATTAAGGCCTGATTATTTATAAAACCATTTTTGTCAAGAGAATTAGGAGAATTAGAAACATCCTGGCTCACACTTTCACACAAATGTCCATGTGCTGTTAAACTGTGGAAACTGGCACGAGTTTTCCCACACATTTATTTTCAGCCATCATAATTATTCCAGAGGAGAAAGGGCAACCATCAGCCAGGCGTGGAGGAGCAATGCTGGAGCAAAGGAGCTAATTCCCAGCCCAGCAAAGGTCT